GAAATTTCAATATGGAAAAGTGATCAAAAGATTATGTTTAACAGATAAACATTTTGAATCACGATACATGTTTTGTAGAAAACAGCTGTGGCAAAAGAATATCAATAAATGGACAAGTTGTGTCATTATCTCAAATGAAAGTCGTTTCTGTCTTCACTCCGATGGTATGATGATGTGGAAACCTTGGGGGTATCACCTTGATACAATTTTTAAATCGACTCCCAAATATGACCGCTCTGTAATGGTCTGAGGAGCAATTGCAAAGGATTTCAAAAGCAAACTTGTCTTCTGTTCCAACAGACTCGATTCAGCTAAATATTTTGACATTCTAAAAGAATTGGAAGTTTTTGATGAAGCTGTTGAAAAGTGGGGACGGAAAAAACTTGTTTTTCAACAAGATGGAGCTCCTTGTCATACTTCAAAGACGACATTAGCAAAACTACAGGGAATGGGTATCAAAGTACTTCAAAAATGGCCTGCTAACTCACCTGATCTAAGTCCCATAGAACATCTATGGTCGATAATGGAAAAGAAAATAAGAGAAAAAACAAAAGTGTTTGAAAATGAACAAAAATTAAAAGAAGCTTTATTGCTTGTATGGGATGAAATCCCGATACAAACAATCAACAATTTGATTGAATCTATCTTCGAAAGATTTAAATTGTGTTTGAAATCAAAAAGTGGGTTTATTGGTGACAAACTTTAATTATTGAAGTTAAGAAGGTTTGTCATGTGGAATGTATAAAATTTGGGTAAATCAGCTTAACTGTTGCATAATTCCTACATTATTAGATGATTCTATTTTTGAATTGATTTTGGTTGTTATAAAAGTGTGTACTTCGAAATAAAAATTATGAAAAATAGATTTGAATCTTAATAAATATCGGGAAAATACTCTGAAATAAACAAATTGATTAAAAATGGTTCACACTTTTTATTTCCAGTTTATTATAGTAGTTTTATATAAAACAAAAAACTATATTTTAATAATTAATAAAATGTTTGAAATAGTTATTTAAAATAAAATTTTAGGTTTATTTTTGTATTTTTATCTTGTTCAGAGGAATAACAAGGAAATATGTTTTTAATGTTTTGATCTTTAATTTATTTAACAGTTTTGAGAAGGCTTGGAAGAACCAAAAATAAATCAAATCTACTACCGTTTTTTTGATTACTTTGGGAAACTCTGATTTCAGCCAGTTTTTTGAAATAGTTTAGATTTAGAAAATTTAAAATTATTTTTATTTGTAATAAAAACAAAACAATTAATTATACTACTAATAATATATTATATTATAAATAATAGTTTTAAATTGTTTCAATTATATTGAATTTTATTTCACTTGCGTTCCAGTTAAAGTGTATTTCGTTAAACGAAGAGAAGATGAACAACACAACGAAGTGAGTGAAGTGCAACCGTTAAAACACAAAGCGCCAATTTCAGTCACAGTTGTTGGCACAACAAGTTCCTTTATTGCACAACAATTTTTGAAAGCCATATCTCCAAGACTTTTAATTGAATTTGGCAATTTAACACCTGTCAGTGATCGACAATTTTTAAACATAAAACTTCTGATTTTTGTGAGTGTATTTGGTATCACAATTTGACTCAAATTTGACATATTAGTGAATACCAAGTGTTTCCCAAAGACAACGTTTTCATTAAAAACAATATTCTTTAAGTTAGTGCACCCAACAAACGCATAATCTGCAATATGTGTCACATTGTTCGGCAATATAATTTCAGTGAGTTCGTTGCAATTGGCATAATTTGAATGTTTAATTTCTGTTACACTACTTTTTACTTCGATGCTTTTTAAGTGACAGAATTTGGCTAAATAACCATCGCAAAAGGTTGCTGTTTTTGTTGGTATAAATTTGGGGTATATTTCCAGCTTTTTACACCCAAAAAGTGTGTAGTCGTCTATTTCTATTTCACTCTCGGGCGAAGTAATTTCTGTTAAATCCTTTGCTCCATAAAACGCCTTATATGGCAATTTCTTAAAACCCTTTGGCAGTTTCACTGATTCCAAATTTGCTACTTTATAAAACGCGCCAATTCCAAAAGTTGTCATTGGTTCTGGAATTTCAATGCGTTTCTCTCGAAACACACTTTCTGCAAAACAAAAGTCGCCGATTTCTTTGACGGCTTTGAACCACACATAACTAACATCACATTTGTAACACGCTCGTTCTGCATATATATTTGCTGGGTATGTCGGTTTGCCAGTCGGGTCCGGATTGTACCAAGCGACTTCTGAGGAACCAAACCCTTGTTCCACAAAGTACATTCCCTTCATATAATTGAATGAATACACAACACTATCTGCCCATGCTGGACCTTGTTCGACAGTCTCTTTATATGGAATTAAATAGTCGACAACTATGTTTTTAGAATCAAAATCACCAGAATGAAATGAGTCAAAAAAAGTGAGATAAATCACTCCTTTACGACATTCAATGTTTCCACCATATCCATCTTCTATATACAAATTCTTGAGTGTTGTGTTCAAGTAAATTGTAATTTTACGACATTCATATAACTTCAGTGTTATAATGTTGATATCATCAAACTCAAAAGTCGATTCTGAAAGATCTTTCATTTTCAGTTCTGTGAGGGAAGTCGGCAAATTCAAACAATCAAAACCAGTTGTATTGATTTCACAATAAGACAAATTTTTCAATTTCATTTCTTTTGTGATTTGTTGGGGAGTCTCTGTTATATCATACTTTTCTTTGTAAACATACGGCTCAGTGTCAAATTCAAGGACTTCTAAGTCTTTAACCAAACTCACAAAAATTCGATATTCATTCTGTTGGTCTGGATTCATTTCATGGTATTTGGGAATATCAGCTGCATCTTCTGGATGCTTTCTAACCCATTGAGTATAACACTGTTCACTCATCATTGAATCGTAAAACTTTATTAAACCAAAAAAGTTGATGAATGGAATTTGTTGAAGTAATTTTATTTCACAACGTTTAGTGATTTCGACAGTCACTCTGTCATCACAATACACTGAAATTTCATATGGAAAATCTGTTTCTAAATATTTCAATTTATTTGATATTTTTAAGTTGAATTTTTTATATTCTTCATTGTTGATAACAAGTCTTTTGGTGTCAATTTCAGAAGTATCCAAATCATTAGTAGAACTCTTTTCAATGGTCAACTCACTCAACTTTTTGTCGGTCATGTCAACATATTTTGAAAAGTTTTTAGTTTCATTTTCTTTTATATAACACAACTCTCCAAGATGATTAACAGAAATTGGGATATTCCACATGTTAAATGTTGAAAAGTCGTCCACATTGAGTATCATAATTTTAAAATACAATTTCATCTTATCAAAAAGTTCTTTTTCGCCAAACGCAAAATCTTCATTTGGTAAATACAAAATTAAATTTATTATAAACCCTCGATATATACTAAGAAAAGGTACAAAATATTTTAACTGCCCTTTTGCACCAGCAAAAATTCGAATCGTTTTTAGAGAGTGTAACTCAACGAAAACGGTGAGGTTTACAGCTAATAAATTTAGAAAAGGTTCGGCTTCTCCGTTTATTTTATATCCATATTTGTCTGTTGTTGGAACTACAACGGTGATATCCAAAAGACTTTTAAATCGTTCAAAATGGTTTATTAAAAAGTTTAATGAATTTTCATCGTACACAATATATGTCTGGAATTTTTCTACTTCTTTCAAATGTTCTTTTTCAAAGGGGCGTTGAGTTGAAATGATATATAACGGTGAGAAGTCTGCTTTGTAATATTCATTTTGAATTGTGTGATTTTTGTCTGACATATTCTGTACTTTGATATGATCTATTTTTAAAAATACTTCATTAGAAATTCGCATTTTATAAGATGGCAAATATAACGTTTTAATGTTTGGAAATAATTTTAACATGTCTATCGCATAATGCTCTATTAAGTAAGTTTCATACACTTTATGATAATCACAAGATCTGGTGTTTTCAAAAACAAGGGGATTGATTTGGAGACGCCCCATCACTCGCTTGCACTTTTTATTTACCGTGGAAAAAGTGAAAAGGGAATTGAACGTGTTGATATATAACACAACATTCATTAAATAGAATTCTTCCAATTTGGTTGCCATTTGTATTTCGTAGTTTTCAATCGTTTAAATATATTTTAAAAACACATTTTTATATTCTTAAAAATTAAAAAACATTGATTTTTAAAAATCAAAAAATGGACATATCAATAATAAATCTTTTTGTAGTTATTATAATAAATAAATAATGAAAAGTAATTAAACATTTTTTAGATAAAAAATATTTTTGTCTGTTAATAAAAACAAATAATTGGTGTTTTACAGATTGCTTTGTTTTCGAAGTATTGTTCGAAATGATCGTGTCTTTTAATTTTGTAAATAAAAATATAGAAATTTAATTTAATAATTTATACAATATATTAATTTTTAAAACATTGAAAATTTTAAAACATATAAATATTAAAAACAAAACTTGTATATTGAATCTTGACTTTAAATTAATAAAGTTGATTATAAACTCTGTTTACATAAAATATTTATGTGTATTAATTTGTGTTTTTATTTAAAATGTTTGAATTGTAATATTTTGAATCTTGACTTAAATAAATTAGACAAATAAGTTTAAATGAAATATATTAATTTTGTTTTTGAATAAATTATTAGCATGAATTAAAACAATAACTACCTTTATAAATTGATAAAATAATCAAGATAGTTGTATTTTAAACAGTACCACCAAAAAAATGTTGGAAGTAAATTTTAAATTTGTTCCAACCCATCAAAAAATTGAATGTGGTGGTGAAAAAAATAATTCCAATAAACAAATAACATTCTAAGGTTTATAAAAATGTTATTTGATAAACCTCCTACGATAAATAAATAAAGTCAGTGACAAAAATAAAGAAGGCAAAAATTGCAACATAAAATGACCAATAAAAAGTGTAAAAAGTTAAAAACATCAAACATTACTTTATTTATATACTTTTATTTTTGTATTATTTTATACTTCTTTGCAATATTTAACAAACAAAAAACATTATAACGAGTCAATTAATTATGAACAACTTCTTATTCTTATTACATTTGTAAAAGAGGCAATTGTAAACGATGAAACAAAAGAGGAAATTTTCTGGCAGAAAAAGAGCGTTTAATTCAATCGAAAAAAACATAATTACAGATAGAAGAATTATTGGTTGTCATAGAAAAAGTGGTTGTCATGAAAATAATGTTAATAAAAACAAAAAATCGATTGTATTTTTTTTAATTCTTCCAGTGTATTGAGTAAGTCGATTATCAAATGAAATAATATATATTAATTAATTTGTTTTATACTATTATATAAGGTATTAAACAAATGTTAATAATGTTAATATTTTAAACTTTTAACAATAATAAAAATTATGTATTTGAAAAAGACTTATTAAACGAAGTATATTTGTGTTTTTTGGTGAACCCAACAACAGTAAAATATATAGACAATGAAAACAATAATCAAAACAAAACGTTTGGTTAATTTGAACAAACTAACAGCTTTCATAACGAAATGTCATATTTGTAATTTAACGTCATATTACACGTTGTTTATCAATGAAGTCCTAATGATTAATAATTCGTTTTCAACGTCATTAACATATTAACCTGATAATCGTGATCATTGTTTGTTCAATTTACACATCCCCAACTTATTCATAACAAATTGCACATCCCCAACATCAGTTCATTTTATATCATGACGACAAGGTTCAGTCGGTTTTGACTTTGAAGATGAGTAAAGTCTTTTTGTGTTTTTTCTGTTTTTTATATAAAAATACACATTTTTAAATTTTTTATTCTTTTGACAACCACTTTCTGAAAAAAAACAATCCAAACTACTGCGGCTTTCCCGTAAACTTACTTGTTTAACAACTAACAATTTATAATTATTAAAAATAAATATATAAAAATACCTTTTTATTCTCTTGACAACCACTTTTTCTTGCATCTGTATTGATTATATTAAAAAGAAAGAATTTGAAAATGATCCAGTTGGCTACATCCGAGTTGATGTTGTTTGTTGCAAATGTAATTGGCAGAGAAGACATTAACTTGAGGATGTTATATAATAGAATAGGAAAAGAACCCCGATTATCAACAGTAAAATAAATTCCTATGGAAAGTGAGAAAATGGAAGTGACAACCCAATCAATCAATTTGTTTTTTTAATTACCTGGAAACAAACACAACAGGCGTTCCAGTAAGTTTTGTCTTTAATTAAACGAATCAAAATTTTAGCAGTGGACTGACAAATCCAACATAGCAATAATTGTTTCACATGTTACAAGAAATGGATGTATTTATTTTCATTTGCCTAGGAATGGAGCAGAACAACTACATTGGAAGCCATTAGTATAACAACAAGAAAAATTTTTAAGTCAATAAAAAATAAATTGGTTAACTGTCTGTCTGAAACACCATCTTCTAAAGTAAGTACTGTTTGATTTATTTTCATATTTGATTTTTAATGTGTTTTAGTTTTAATGTTATTAATCATATCAATACTATTTTTTGTTTGTTTACATCACGTTTAAATTAATCGTTTTATTTGTTAATGTAAAAAGTTTAGTTTTTTGTTTTTGCATGTAATTTTTGAATTGTAAAAAAAAGAAAAAACAACCAATCATAATAAATAAATAAGGTTAACAAAATAAATAACGTTTACAAACTGAATTTGATTGTTAATTTTTGACATAGTAATTAAAAAAAATAATAACAAATTTTAAATATGATAATTGTGATTAATATATAAAATAATATTGAAATAAAAAAATATTTATCGAAAATAATATTATTATACAAAACAAAACATATAACAAAAAACAATTTTGAAAAAATATTACACAATATTAAGAAAAATATAAAAGATGTGATTATTGTATTCGTGATTTAATTTTAATAGATGAACAATTATATAGTATATTTTGTTAAAAAAATGAAATTGTCTATTTTTTAAATTTCATTCTAAAAAAAATGTTTAAAATGTTATTTATTGACTATTTTACACTATTAAAAATAAATATGTAAAAATTATTATATCTATTGTTTAATATTTGATTACATTTTTTTTATAAAATAAGCTTCGTACTTAAGATATATATGATGAAAAATATTGAAAACGCTGATAAAACTCTATAAATTTTTACCTATTTTTGGTATTAATAATTTTAATAAAAATCTCGGGTATAAAGTTTATTATCAAACACATGAATTATAAATGACATAACATTTTAATGAAAAAAAATATTGATGTTTTTATTATAAGATGATTATAATAACTTATCAAAAGTTTATTAATATATTTAGAATTACGAAAAACAGAACATCCTGATATTTTAAATCCAATTAATGTATTTATAAATACACCAAATATGGAGTACATATTATATAATTTAAAATTTAGTAAATGTATTCTGAAATAATCTTTTTGCAAAGATTACATTTGAATTATTTAAAAAAACTATTGATTAATCTAACTCAAACTTTTTACTAATGATAAACTGAACTAACAATTAAAAAGTCAATGAAACAAATTTTAGTGTTTCTTATATTAATGTTAATGGCTTATTCAAAAACTACTGTTTTGTGGTGTAATTATGAGAACATACTAACTTGTGAACCTTATAGTAACAGATGTCCACAAAAGTGCAGCTGGAGTTTGTTGGATGATCACATTGAGTTTACAAACATCTCCGATTTATATTCTATTGAATGTGAAAAATATACATCTTTGATAATATCTATGAATAATAGATCACAATTTGTTTTGGAATTTTCATCAATTAATCACACTTATATATACTCGGAACATGATGGAAAGTTTCATTTGTTTTCATCATTTATATTATATAAATTCGACAATAATTCAAAAACGGAAAATACACTGAAAAGTTATTGTGAAAATTGTGAAACGTGTACAAACTCGATTTGTACTGAATGTAAAATTGGGTATTTTTTATCTGAAAAGACAATATGTAGCCCATGTAATTCAACATGTATGAATTGTAGTTCACTTTCAAAATGTCTAAGGTGTAATGCTGGGTATATTATATTTGGGGACACATGTCGTCAATGTGAATCCCCGTGTCTGGAATGCTATGGTATCAGTAAAGGGAGTTGTATTTCATGTATTATTGGGTATTATTATTCTGGGGGATTATGTCCAATTTGTGATACCAGTTGTTTAACTTGTGATAAAACAAAAACAAATTGTACATCATGTAAAAACGGAACTTTTTTACAAGATAACAAATGTATAACTTGTGATGTTCAGTGTTTTGAAAATTCTTGTGATTCAACAAAAGGGTGTTTGAAATGTAATTTGGGGTATTTCCTAAATTCATCGAGTTGTTTTCTATGCAACGAAATTGAAAACTGCCTATCATGTAGTCAAACAGAAAAGAAATGTCTTAAATGTAATAATACTGTTTCTTATTTAAGTGCTAAAGGTGAATGTACTCCTTGTAACGAAACGTGTTCCACTTGTAATGAAGATGGGACTTGTAATGGATGTGTACAAAACTATGTTCCCTTTCAAGTAAAGTGAAGTGTGTGGAGACAGAAACAACCGAGTTTGTACGTCTTGTGATACAAATTACTATATTAACGCACAAAACATGTGTTCTCAGTGTGACACGACATGCGCATATAAAGGTTGCAATAAAAACACGGGCATTTGTGAGACTTGTGCGACCGGATACACCAAAAAGACGACCGATAGTATTCCATGTGAGTTGTGCTCTTCGTTTGATCCATATTGCACAGTCTGTTCTCAAACTATCAGAAAATGCACAACATGTACAACTGGAAAATATCCAAACCCGTCTTCTCCGTTTAGTTGTATTGATTGCCACACTTCTTGTTCGAGTGGGTGTTCCACCACAACAGGTATATGCATGACTTGTATTGGTGATCAGTACACAATCAACCCATCAAACCCAAAACAGTGTCAAAGCTGTTCTTCTTTCGATTCGAATTGTCTAAGTTGTTCAAGAACAGAAAGAAAGTGTCTTTTGTGTCAAAGTGGTGTTTCGTATTTATCAAATGGAATGTGTGCGTTGTGTGACTCAACGTGTTCAACATGTGGAACAGATGGTATTTGCACACAATGTATAGCCAATTACGTCTTTTATGAACCAAAACAAATTGGATGTTTGAGTTGTACTTCATTTGACACAAATTGTGCGTCTTGCAGTTTGTCAAGTTCCAGAAATTGCACCACATGCAAATCAAATATGTATCCTGATGTGTCAAATGGAAAATGTAAAAGCTGTGATGCTTCGTGTGGTGGGAGTTGTGACACAACAAATGGAATTTGCACAAATTGTGTTTCTGGAAAAGTCTTCAATGAACCAAAAGGATTAACATGTATTGACTGTTCTACATTCGATGTCAACTGTGTTGCATGTGCCTCAAATGGAGAAAGAAAGTGTATCACGTGTCGTGAGAACAGTGGGTTTTATTTGCTCAATGGAAGGTGTGTGGTGTGTGACTCAACTTGCAAAGCAAATACATGTGACTCGACAAGTGGATATTGCTCGCAGTGTTTGTTGAATTACACAGTGACTTCTCCAATATCGAAAGTCTGTGTGAAATGTTCTGAATTTGATTCATACTGCTCGAAATGTGCAACTGACTTCACCAGAAAGTGTGAGTTGTGTTCGAGTGATAAATACCCAAAATCCACAAAAGGCTATAAATGTGGTGATTGTGACTCGACGTGTGGTAATCAGTGTAGTGGTTCAACTGGATTTTGTACTGGGTGTCTGTCAAATTACGTGTTTTCCACAACAAACAGTTTGGTGTGTGACAAATGCTCAACATACGATGCAAATTGCCTGACGTGTGATTCGTCATACCAACGACAGTGTGTGACATGCAAGACAAGTGGGATGTACCCCGATGAATCAACTAAGAAATGCAAATTGTGCAGTACAACATGCAATGGCAATTGCAACCAAACAAGTGGTATCTGCACTGCCTGTATGACTAATTACGTGTTTGAAGAGATAAAGAGTAAAGTGTGTGTCACTTGCAAGACATTTGACAGCAACTGCAAAACGTGCAAATCAGACTACACGCGAAAATGTGTTGATTGTGAAAATGGGTATTATCCCAACGACTCTGGAATGTGTGTGCCTTGCAGCACGATTGATGCAAATTGCAAAACGTGCAATTCAAAGATGAAAGAGTGTTTGACATGTCAAGACCCGTATTACTTATCCAGTCAGAAGTGTGTGAGTTGTTCTTCTGGCAGTTACAAAAACACTGAAACTTCATGTGAACAGTGTTGCAATGATCTGCCCAATTGCCAAACATGTTCAACGCAATCTGTTGGTGTTCCTGTGTGTTCGCTGTGCTATTCTCCATATGTCTTGGCTTCTCAATCAAAAACGTGTGTGGGTTGCACATCTTCTCAAAAATACAACAAAACAACACAAAAGTGCGACAGCAGTGCTATTGGCTGTTTGACAGGATTGACCAATCAGCAGTGTTTGCGATGTGATGGGTCGTATTACCTTTCTGAACACAAATGTGTTGCAACAAACAACTGTAACGCCCCATCAACAATATCAAAGGTATCATGTGACTGTGCACATCAGATATCAGTCAATTCCGATTGCAAGAGCAAAGTTTCAAATTGCAAATATCAAAGAAATTACAAAACCCAAAGTGAGTGTATTCACTGTGATGACAATTATTTACTCAATGGAGCGACTTGTCAGAAGGTAGCAGCTGGAAATACAATCAGAAACGATGTGGTTTATAACTGTGTCAATGACAATTATCTTGTATATAACAACCAATGCAACACGTGCAATAAAAATGCTTCTGTATGCGTCCATTACAACAATGTCATTGAAATCATCGCATGCAAAGAACAATATACATATGACGTGGTTAATAAGAAGTGTGTCAACGACATTTCTTGTTCAAAATATTCAAACGACTTCTGTTCAAAATGTGTTGATGATAATATGGAAATGCACGAAGGTAAGTGTGTAATTTGTTCTGTTCCAAATTGTAAATATTGTGAGGGTGGCAAATGTAAAAAGTGTCAAGAAAACTATGTGATACAAACAAATGGATTTTGTGTTGAAAAGAGTGAAATGAGTTGTGTCAACAGTGATGGTCTGCGTTGTTTACAGTGCACTGAAAATTTTTATCCGACCGACTCAATTAATAACGAAGGGAAGTATGACTTCTGTTTGCCACTTTCTTTGACGCAAATAGAAGACTGTAATATTCATCAATTATAAAATCGAAGTGTGTTGAGTGTTTGGATACATTCAAATTGAAGAATGGGAATTGTTCTGAACAGTTTGATGATGAAAATGAACAAGAAACCAATTCAACTAACATCAAACAAGACTTGAAAGGTGCAGAGGTATCATGTTTCATAAGAAACAATAAAGGGTGTGAAAGATGCAACAAAGGGTATTACTATAACAACTGTGATGGTGAGTGTCTTCTTTGTTCGACAAATTGCAAAGAATGTTACAACACAACTTACTGTACTTCATGCCAGCTTGGGTATTACCTTTCCTCTACTTTCACATGTGAACCACTTGGCGACTTGTTCACAAAATGTGACTTAACACTGCCAACCGGTGGTGGATGTGCTGTCTGCAAAGACGGATATTATAAAGAAAATAAAGACTGTTTGCCTTGTGATGGGTCGTGTGGTACTTGTGTTGACAAGTACTCATGTATAGAATGCAAAGAAATGTATTTTAATTACCCGGGTAGTTTGAGTAAATTGTGTCTTTCTTATGAAACCATTTTAAATTGTAATAACAAAACGAATATGGGGTGTACTTCTTGTTCAAATGGTTATTATTTGGATTAATATTTATGTAAAGAATGTTCAAATAATTATGTTTTGTGTGAAAATAAAGAAAAATGCAACAGTTGTACATCAAACTATGTTCTTGTTGATTCAAAGTGTGTTAATTACAATCAGGTCAAATATTGTAAATCTGCTAACAACTCAAAATGCACAAAATGTGAAGGAAAACACAAACCAAGTGATATGGGTGATTTTTGTAAAGAAGTTGTTAATTATGGAGAGGTCATTGGTATTCCTATATCTGTGGTTTTTGTCTTAATAATAGTTGTTTTTATTATTATAACAATTATTATTGTATTATTTCAAAATCAAAAACAAAAGAAAAAAGAGCAAAATATATGCAACTTCAAGATGAGTCGGTCTAACATTGAAATGCTTCAATTGAGTGATAACATTGTTACCAATAAAACACAACTGAACTTTGATCTCGACAACAATGATCCACTCAAAGTGGATGTAGAAACAAGGGATTTGATTTGCATCGGTAATGCTTCAAAACACACGAAAAAGGTACAGTTTAGTGTGATGGAAGGGTGCGATTTTTATGAAATACGAACAGTACCTTCACTTTTATCTCTCAAGCCCGGATATGCTTGCGAATTTGAAATATTCATAAAGCCGCTGTGTACTTGTTCTACCAAGGAAAACATCATAATTACTGCACTTGATATTACAACTGGTGTTCAAGAAAACGAAAAAATTCGAGTTAATATAGAGACTGAACAAACAACTAAATTAAATTATCGAGAACTTGAAGAAGATAAAAAGCTTGGTGAAGGCTCTTTTGGAATTGTATACAAAGGAAAATACAGAGGAAATGTAGTTGCCATTAAAAAGATGAAACAACTAGATAGCAATGAAAGCGGACTTGATGAATTTGAAAAAGAAGTTTCGATGCTTGATAAATTTCGAAGTGAATATATCATCCACTTTTATGGCGCAGTGTTTATAGCAAGTAAAGTGTGTATGGTCACCGAATTGGCACAATTTGGGAGTTGTCAAGACTTGATGAAACATAAAACATGTGATGAAGTTGATTTAAAACTTCGAGTGAAGATAATGATAGATGCAGCTAAAGGTATTTTATATTTACATGAGAATGGAATATTACACCGAGACATTAAACCAGACAACTTTTTGATATTGTCACTTGACCTATACGAAAAGGTTAATGCTAAATTGACTGATTTTGGGTCGAGTCGAAATGTAAATATGCTTCAAACCAACATGACATTCACTAAGGGTATCGGTACACCAACATACATGGCTCCTGAAATTCTTAAACAACAAAAGTATAAAAAATCTGCTGACGTGTATTCATTTGGAATCACTATGTTTGAAGTCATTTCATGGAAAGAGCCGTACTCAAAAGATCAATTTAAATATCCATGGAAAATTGCAGAATTTGTAATGGCTGGAAATCGTCTTAAAAAACTTGAAATGATGAGCAATGAACAATATGATATAATATCTGACTGTTGGTCGGAATGTTAATTTATTATCAACAAACATGACATTTACAAAAGGAATTGGAACACCAGTATACATGGCTCCCGAGATTTTGAAACAACAGAAGTATAAAAAATCTGCTGACGTGTATTCTTTTGGGATTTCCATGTACGAAGTTTTTGGATGGAGCGAACCGTATCCGAAACACGAATTCAAATTTCCTTGGAAAATAGCGGAATTTGTCATGGGTGGTAATCGTCTTAAAAAACCATAAACGATCAACAACGAGCAATACAAACTTATCACACATTGTTGGGATTGTAAAATGGAAAACAGAAGTACAATTGAAGAAATAGTAAAAGAACTTGAAATGATCATTTATTAAGATTTTAACAAATTAAATGTTAGTTTTAAGTGGTGGACGGGCCGAATAATGTTGAATTAAATAATCTGCACTCGAATAATGATGTATTGAATGTGTTTCAACAATAGTTCAAAAGCAAATCAACGAAAAATCAATTCAATTATTTTCATACAATGTTTTATTTTTAGTTTTTAAAACTTTATAAAATCACTCTAAATTGGTATAAAAAGAAAAGTACAGTAAGTTCCCTTCATAAATTATTAATAACACATTCGAAACAATAAAACTTTTATTGAAAGATCAAAATGGTGTTATTTTTGTATTTATCAACAAATGATAAACCAAATAGAGTTAGTCGAAAACGTTGTCCTAGTATTTTTGGTCAATAAAAATTGGAAAATATCGGGTTCATGTTAAAAATATAAAAAAATCGTCGTTTCAGTTTTTTCCAAAATTTTCCCAATTTTTTCATTATTTACCCAATTCCCGTGATTTTAAACAAATATTTGCGTATAAATTGATAAAAAAAACCAACTTTGGCAATTGGGACAACGTTTTACAACAAACTCTTATTAGTTTAACAATAATTTGCTCATTACTCATGAAACTGTATTTCATATCATTAAAATTGTTAAAAAACAATACTTTATAACAATCTTAAATAAATAAAATATTTGTAGGAAACTTAATGGTATTATTTATGATAAAAATAAAATATATACAACTTAAAAGTTAAATTTAATTTATACTTATGATTATATGGTAAAAAAACAAGATAAAAGGTACTTTTTTAACAAGTTGTATTAATTTTTGGTATTTATTTTTACATAGATACAAATATGGTAAATAATAAATAATTTAAATAAAATAAAATTTATTGGATTTTAATAAATTGGCTATTAATAATAATCTAACAGTTGAAAAGCGTGTGATGTTTTTAAGTTTATCTTATTATTTTGAGAAATTTATTAATTATAAAATGAGATTTTACAAATATTATTGTGTTTTAATAATCTAATAAATATTTAATTACTTCTTTTAATTATTTCTTTCTTTTAAAATCTTTTTTCTTTTTTTTCCATCACTAAGTATGTGTCTTTTTGAAGGTGGTATATACGTGGTTTTTCCTTAACTATAACACATGGTTTAGCATAATTGGTTGTTTGTCAACAATCATTGTTCTATGTTTTGAAATAACATGTACATTTTCTTTTGTTATTTTATTGACCAATTTATCAACACTTTTATTCAAAATAACTGCTGTGCTATTTTTCGAACTATCCACAACTTTCACGTTATTCAGTACTTTATTTAAACAATTAAAATCACGTATTTCTCCAATGAATTGTTCATCAACTTTCTGTATAATATTTTTTTCTCATCTTTTAATTCAAAGTTGTCAATTTCCTTTCTCGTTTCATATAATTTGTTCCACCCCAAAAAGTCAATTGTTTCAACCATGTTCTGTTCGAAGTTTTCAATATACCCATTTCCACTATAATAATTTAATGTCAAATTAAAAACTTTTGTCGGTCTTTTATAATAATGATTGTTTCCTTTATCAATCTGTTTTGATTTAATTATTTAACTGTTTTCGTATTTCATTAAATTGATAAGAAGGTAAATGAAAGTTGGTTTTTTACAGTTGAGTCTTTTAACCAACGCTGAATGATAAGATTCGCTTAAATTGTCGGTTCTTATAGTTTGATTAAATTTGCACCTTAAGTTAATTTGCCATTTTAATATCCAGTTGTTCCTAAAATAAACACCCAAATCATCAACTTTGTCTTTTGTTTGCACATCAAAAACCATAGAATTTTTGTATTCAACTATACTTTCATAACATTGTTCAATTTCACTTGGCTTGTAAAATGCCAACATTTTTAGTTTGGAAACCATATTCCAAACTTGATTATTAGTATGATACAAACTCGACAAACCAACATTGTTTACTTTTCTCCAGATACACTGGGTGTAATGAAAGTAACAACCGTGAATTATACATTCATATTTGCTGGGACTGTTAATTGCAGCGGTTTCAAAATCAACCATAACACTGACATCTTTATGGAAAAGTCGACAACCACAACATTCAACAAAAAACTCATTGATTATGTCAAATAGCAACACATAATCGATTTCTCTGCGATGAACCTTCAAACTGTGTACAAGGGTGAAACATTGACCATTTGTTAAAATACAATGTATTGTGTACAATTGTTCGTAATCATATGGACATGACCCAAAGTTACCGTCCATGCATAAGTAAGCAATAGTTTTGTTTTTCAAAATATCTATTTTTTCTCTTGATATCATTAAGAATACATTATCTTCGTCTCTTATATAATACTTATCACTGTTAAGCAGCTCTTGTATAGTTTCATCGATCATTTAACTTTAAGTTTATTAATAGTTCTTCTTAAAGTAGTTTTTCTTCTGGTGTCTTTTGTGTTAAAAGTTTGATATTGTTCTAAAATGGCAGTAGCAGAAATTAAAACATTGGTTCCTTGTTTGACTAATTGTTTAATTTATTTGTTATCAACTCTTTCAGTAGGCAAGTGTGGGTGAGTTTTGTAATATTCATTAATATATTTATATTGAATAAACTTTAGTTTTTCACCTTCATTTTCCGTTTTTAATATTTCTATATTCACTTTGCATTTTGGACACTTGTAAATTTTTCTTGAACGGTCTTAGGGTATAAATGTGTACCCATTAACAGTCGGAAGCATATCCTTCGTTCCATCTTTTGATCTTTTTCTGCTTGGTGTTTGAGTAAGTTCTTCCATTTGAATATAGTTTCCGAATTTATGGAATTTAAAAAGTATAATAAAATATTTATATTGCAATTGTAAAACAAAATACTTGAAATGTGTTTGATTGTAGTTAAATTTTTATTAATAAAACATGTGTATTTATATCTAATTCGATAATTGTGTATTTGTTATTAAAAGTAAATTAAATAAACGTTTATTTAAATATGATACAAATCAAATGTAAAATTTATTTATAATATTTTATATATATTTGGTTTATCATTTGTTGATAAATACAAAAATAACACCATTTTGATCTTTCAATAAAAGTTTTATTGTTTCGAATGTGTTATTAATAATTTATGAAGGGAACTTACTGTACTTTTCTTTTTATACCAATTTAGAGTGATTTTATAAAGTTTTAAAAACTAAAAATAAAACATTGTATGAAAATAATTGAATTGATTTTTCGTTGATTTGCTTTTGAACTATTGTTGAAACACATTCAATACATCATTATTCGAGTGCAGATTATTTAATTCAACATTATTCGGGCACCCAATCATAATGAAACATTTCAAGAATTTTTTCGAATTTTTTTTACACTTGTATTATATGTATAAAGTCGCCTAGTGTTTTAAAATACTTCGAAACGATCATCATCGAATAACGGTCAAGAACTTTTATGATTGATCATTATTTAAGTTATTAGTCAAAAAATACAAAAGTCAGTTTAAAAACACAAGTCAAAAAATATTATAAATAAAACAAATAATTTTTTTTCTAAATTATTTAAACAATAACACAACTAACAACATAAATATGTTTGAGATTGTTTGACCAATCATTAAAAACTCTTAAAGTGAATAGTATAGTTGTTTTGGTACTATTTTTAAACAAAAAAATTTATAAATGTTGCTTACAAATTGAGTTTAATAAAATCATTTTTTGTATTATATTAGGCACAAATACTTTTCAATATTTTTAATACACTTTATTGTAAAGCAAACTGACGTCCTCTCTTTTAAAAACATCTCATGAAAGTGACTTTTACTCAACTACAAAACTTCGATTCGATGTTTTGATTGAAAAAACAACTATTTAAAAAACAAAATTCTTATAACTAAAATTATAACACTTTTTGTCTATAAAAAAGGTTGATGGAATAAATAACGTTTTCAAATGGGCTTTAATTATAATATATCCATATATTCATTATAATTAAGTTTGCTAATTATAATAAAATATAGTAAGTGAACTAATTATGGTTCAATTAGCCAACGGACTATCTAATTAACTAACATTAATATGTTTAGTTTACTTGTCAATTATACCAGTTTTATTTCAAAAAGTTTATAAAACAGTAAATTATTACAAAATTATAAACTAAACATTAATAATAATAACTATTATTTGCTATAATATTTATAATTTTTTGTGTTTTTGAAACAAAAACATTTAATTTGAATTTTTAAAACAATATTGTTTATTTTTGGTTAATTTTAACAAACTATAAAAAATAAAAACAATTCAAATAAACTTAAAAATAATTGATTAATGAGTCAATTAGACATATCAACTTTAAAAATAGTTATGCAATACTTAGAAGCGCCAGAAGATATTTTATGCGTTGTTCTAATTTCCAAAAAATGTAAAACTCTTCTTGATGCTATTAGTATTAACCCAATCGAAATATCAGACAAATCGCGACTTTTATTCCAACACCTTAAAACTCAACGCCTATTTTCTGAACATTCACACAAACTTACAGGTGTCGACCATTATTTGTATGAATATCCAATTTCATATTCGTGTTATTTAAATGAAAAAACAAAAGGTAACATATGTCCTTATGTTTGTTACAACAAAGATGACTTTTCTAAAAACACTTTCAAAGACTCAATTGGGACTTTTAATATACCGCAAGGCGTCGTTTTGATCGGGCAGTTCTGTTTTTTAAACACCAAATTCACACGAATTGAAATTCCGGATTCGGTGAAAGAAATTGGGTGTTCAGCATTCTGGAGGTGTGACATCAAAAAGCTTTGTATTCCAGATTCAGTCACTTGCATAGAAAGTAATGCATTTGCTGCATGTAAAAAACTTGAACAAGCAACACTCCCGAAATACCTCACCAAGCTTCCGTCCAGACTTTTTGAAGGGTGTTCTTTACTTACAAAAATTCAATTTCCAAATCAGTTCAGTACCGGAGAAAAGTGCTTTGAAGGTTGTGGAATTGTCAACTTTACTGTTAATATGAACAGAGATGTAGGCAGAGCTGCACTGAGTTTGTCACTTCTCACAAGAATTGATTTTTGCGAAGTCAAATATGTTGAAGAAAAACTTTGTGAAAAGGCTGAACATCTTCAAATTGTTCAAATGAAAGATGTATTGGGTATCAAGAGAGATGCTTTTAAAGAATGTAAAAGTCTTAAAAATGTCATTTATTCCGATAATTTGAGTTTCATTGGGGAATGTGCGTTTTGGGGGTGTTCTTCTCTTGAAAAGTCTGAACTGCCGAAAACTGTTGTTTACATAGGAAATTCTGCATTCGACCAATGCATTAATATTCAAACATTGGTTTTTCCAAAAACAGTTAAATTTGAAGGAAATTCGCATTTTGAAAATTGCACGTCTTTAAAAAAGCTTGAAATTCCAATTGAAAATTTACATGAAAATGGTTTAAGTATTTCTGAAAATGAAAAAAACATATTGATGAAGTTGAAAAAAATGAAAGGACAAATAAATGGTGTTTTGATTACCGAAGGCTATTTTGATCTCAACAAGTTAGAAGTTATGGATGACAATATGACAAAGTTGATGTTTAAAAACGTTAGTGGAAAGAATTATGAAATATCGTATTTGCCATCAACACTAGTTAGATTAGATGTCACCAAGCAAAGTACTGAGTTTTTCATGTCGGAATTAAGAATACCAGAGAACCTCTTTTTAGAGAGTCGAACATGTAGTCTCGTCAATTCAGTTGAAACCCCAATACTTCCAAAATGCCAAACAGTTCTTTGTAAAAATTTTGTGGTTAATGCATTTTGTGAAAACTTGAAAATTTTTGTTGTTCCTGAAACTGTTTTAAAAGTGGAACAGGACGCATTTAACTGTTGTTACTTTTTAACAGAAATTAAATTTCGATGTAAAGATACTAAAATGGAACAAAACTTTTACAATGAGTGTGACTCCCTACAAAAAATCACTTTTTCTGATGGAACTAATCAATTAAAAGACGAAATCACTTGTGTTAATTCCAAGGAAATAAGTCCAAATCGTTTGAATAGTTCGCATGCGGTCAGAAATTTTGAAATAACTGGAGAACGAATAGTAATACCAAAGACAGTTACAGTTTTTAATTTTGAATGTTTAAATGACAATACCAAATTAAAAGAACTTCAAATATTAAGTGACAAAATTGTGTGTGATGAAAGTTATCCTCTTGATTCCAATAGTGTTACAAAGATATGTAGTTCTAAGGAAATAATAAATGATATTCCAGTCTCATACGGCTTTTTTATCAGAATGAAAACACTTGGAAATTATGATTTTAAAAATGTAATTTTTACATACAACGACAAAAAGAAGTATGGTGATATGTACATTAAAAGATACTTAAAAAGTCCAATACAAATCTTTGATATTTATAAAGAATCCAAAAGTGATTCAAAAAACAAAGGAAATATTCTTCTGAATCGAATACATTCAGTCAAATTTACTAAATTTGCAAATTTTATGAACAATACATATTCAAATAACAATTTCGATTATATAGATTTAAGTTGCGTTGATTGCATCCCATCCAAATTTTTCGAAGGAGTTTTTGGAAATTGTTATTTTGTCACGAAAATAACACTCTCAGATAAACTTCAAGTTATAGAAAACTTTTGTTTCGAAAATTGTTTTTCTTTAAAACACATAAATATCCCAATGAGTGTGACAAAAATAGGAAACAAAGCATTTAAAAATTGTTACAATTTGGAAGATAACAATTTACAAAGTATAAATAATAAATGTATGATTCTTAATTACTCATTCGAAAATTGTCACACATTGAAACAAATCAATTTAAATTTTACTGTGAATTTGGCACATTTTGGTGTGCGACAAACATGTCACAAATT